TGATACTCTATCTATCTATCTATCTATCTATCTATCTATCTATCTATCTATCTATCTATCTATCTATCTGTCTGTCTTTCTGTCGTCTATCTATCTATCGTCTGTCTGTCTATCTGTCATCTGTCTATCTATCTATCATCTGTCTATCGTCTATCGTCTATCTATCTATCATCTGTCTGTCTGTCTGTCTATCTATCTATCTGTCATCTGTCTGTCTATCTATCATCTGTCTGTCTGTCTGTGTCTGTCTGTCTGTCTATCTATCATATGTCTGTCTATATCTTTCTGTCTGTCTGTCTGTCTGTCTGTCTATTTATCGTCTGTCTATTTATCATCTGTCTGTCTGTCTGTCTGTCTATCATCTGTCTGTCTGTCTATCTATCTATCATCTGTCTATCGTCTATGTATCATCTGTCTGTCTGTCTGTCTATCTATCTATCATCTGTCTGTCTATCTATATCATCTGTCTGTCTGTCTGTCTGTCTATCTATCATCTATCTATCATCTGTCTATCGTCTATCGTCTATCTATCATCTGTCTGTCTGTCTGTCATCTGTCTGTCTATCTATCATCTGTCTGTCTGTCTATCTATCTGTCTATCTATATTTATCTATCATCTGTCTGTCTATCTATATCATCTGTCTGTCTGTCTATCTATCTATCTATCTATCTGTCTGTCTGTCTGTTTGTCTGTCTATCTATCATCTGTCTGTCTGTCTGTCTATTTATCTATCATCTGTCTATCTATCTATCATCTGTCTGTCTGTCTATCTATCTATCATCTGTCTGTCTGTATCTATCTGTCTGTCTATCTATCTCTTTATCTATCATCTGTCTGTCTGTCTGTCTATCTATCATATGTCTGTCTATATCTATCTGTCTGTCTGTCTGTCTGTCTATTTCTGATCTGTCTGTCTGTCTGTCTGTCTATCTATCGTCTGTCTGTCTGTCTGTCTATCTATCTATCTATCATCTGTCTGTCTGTCTTTCTATCTATCTATCTATCTATCTATGTATCTATCTATCTATCTATCTATCTGTCCGTCCGTCCGTCAAAAAATATAATATATTTTGTCCTAATGATAGGTGACCACTTAACTGCTTGAATGAATTAAATTCCCATTTAAAAGTGCTTTATTTTAGGGTGGTAAAGCTATGGTCAGCTGGTCTTTTATTCCATCTTATTCATAGCCATCTATTGAAATAAGCCCTGCATGTGGAGAATGCTATCTATCTATCTATCTATCTATCTATCTGTCCGTCCGTCCGTCAAAAAATATAATATATTTTGTCCTAATGATAGGTGACCACTTAACTGCTTGAATGAATTAAATTCCCATTTAAAAGTGCTTTATTTTAGGGTGATAAAGCTATGGTCAGCTGGTCTTTTATTCCATCTTATTCATAGCCATCTATTGAAATAAGCCCTGCATGTGGAGAATGAGCCATTTTAATCCTGTTTAAATTTGGATTTAGAGTTACTAATGTTTTAGACATCATTAACAGCGTCATGAATGTGATTGAGGTTGGACTCATTTACTAATAATGTCATGTTGCATAAAGGCTGTTGTCAAATACATCACTCATGGCAGGGATTCATTGTCTGGAGGCTAAGGGTAGCATTACATAACGCAGTCCTGTGCAGACAGTCTAATGACGCTGCCAGATCAAACCATTCCATAAAACCTTCCATTAAAGGAGCACTCCACTATTTTTGAAAATAGGCTAATTTTCCAACTCCCCTAGAGTTAAACAGTTGAGTTTTACCTTTTTCGAATCCATTCAGCCGATCTCCGGGTCTGGCGGTAGCACTTTTAGCTGTAGCTTAGCATAGATCATTGAATCTGATTAGACCGTTAGCATCTCGCTTAAAAATGACCAAAGAGTTTAGATATTTTTCCTATTTAAAACTTGACTCTTCTGTAGTTACATCGTGTACTAAGACCGACGGAAAATTAAAAGTTGCGATTTTCTAGGCCGATATGGCTAGGAACTATACTCTCATTCTGACGTAATAATCAAGGAACTTTGCTGCATGGGTGCAGTAGGCGCAATGATATTACGCAGCGCCTGAAAAATAGGCTAACTTCAGTCAACATAACCAACGTGACCACCTGGTACGGCAGCAAAGTTCCTTGATTATTACGCTTAAAAAAACAAAAACAAGATGATTATATTATTTCAGGGTTGCAACCTCATACTGTAATAAGAAATGATTATGTGAGAAAATGAACTGCTTGCTTTTTTTCCAGCTCTTAGAACTGTTTGACACTGAAGATCCTCGTGAGAGAGAGTTTATAAAAACGGTTCTGCATCGCATCTACGGGAAGTTTCTGGGTTTGCGTGCCTTTGTTCGGAAACAGATCAACAACATTTTTCTGAGGTAAGAAAACACTTCTTTTCACACTCTTATATTTGTGTACACTGCTATTCAAAAGTTGTTTGAAAGAAATGAATACTTTGATTCAGCAAGGATGCACAAAATGAATAAATAGATTTATCAAACGTGACCGTAGCAACATTTATCATTTTAGAAAAGATTTCTATTTCAAAAAATGCTGTCCTTTAAACTTTCTATCCCACTAAAAAATATTAAGCATTTTCAATATTGATAATAAGAAGAAATGTTTCAGCATATAATAATGATTTCTGAAGGATCATGTGACACTGAAGACTGGAGTAAGGATGCTGAAAATTCAGCTTTGATAAATACATTTGAATAAATTACATTTGAAAATATATTCAAATAAAAAACTATTTTAAAATGGAATAATATTTCACAGTATTACTGTTTTTACTGTATTTTTGGTCAAATAAATACAGCTTTAGTGAGCAAAGAGACTTCTTTCAAAAACATTTGAATAAAATCTTACCAAACACAAACATTTTAACTGTAGTTTGTGTCTGCATTTTTTGTCATTCTTACATGGCTTTGTAATCTTTATGAAATTTTTTTTTTTTTTATTGTTTATTTTTTTTATTTGTTTAATTGTTTTTGCATGTCAAAGTAAGGCAAATGTGACCATGGACCACAAAACCAGTCTTAAGTAGCATGGGTATATTTGCAGCAATAGCCAACAATACATTGTATGGGTCAAAATGATAAATTTTTCTTTTATGCCAAAAATCATTAGGATATTAAGTAAAGATCATGTTCCATGAAGATATTTTATTAATTTCCTACCGTAAATTAGGGGTTTGCAATATTGACAAAAAATAATATCTCAATATTTTCTGGGATTTTATCGATACCGATAATTAGACGATATTTTGCTGAATGTGTTATTGTGCTGATATCTTAAGGACTGCCGTGGACAGCTGACTCTAAAAGTTTTTGATATTCTTCATATTCTGTGTGGTGGTCAGTTCACTCTGATAAAAATTTATCTTTTCCAATAAGTTTTAACTGATTTTTACATTTTATGGGCATTTTTACCTTTATAAAGCAATTTTTTTCTAAAAGTGTCCATTATCTTTTGCATACTGATATTTGAAATTTTTTAAATAATAAAAGATTCTCTGAATGTGAAATTAAAACCGCCAGTAGGTGGCAGCAAGTCACTGTTAATAAATGACTCATTGCGATTGAACCGAATTATTTAATCGGATGATTCATTCAGGAACGAAACACCGTCATGTTGCTCAGAGATGCAGCATGTCCGGCCTTGTGGATGTGTTTGGAATTATTTTTTGTTGTCGAAATGGCGCAAAAACAGGAAATATGTGACCCTGGACCACAAAACCAGTCTTAAGTCGCTTGGGTATATTTTTAGCAATAGCCAAAAAAACATTGTATGGTCAAAATGATTGATTTTTGAAGATATTTTGTAAATTTCCTACCGTAAATATATCAAAAGTTAATTTTTGATTGGTAATATGCATTGCTAAGAACTTCATTTGGACAACTTTAAAGGAGATTTTCTCAGTATTTAGATTTTTTTGCACCCTCAGATTCCATAT